CCCCTTCCATGGCTAACAAAACTCCAGTCTCCTTTGTCCTATAGGCTTTAGGGACATTCAATATGCGTAGCCAGAGCCAGATATCTAATGTGTGGAGTCGAACTTCTGAGACTAACAGATCATCTGCTTGTTCTTTCAACAGAAGTGGATACTCCCTGATCGTCCATGGTTCCTCTCTGAGAATATTCCCACGATCCTTTTCTCTAGAAAAAGCAATCCACAAAAGTTCATCCCTTGCTCTTTCAATTTGAGTTTCACCTATTATCCACCACCACATATGTTTAATCTGGTCCATTACCCCTGCAACATTCATCCGTTTGTCCGCTAAGATTATTATTGCATACAGACCGATAATCTTCTGCTCCATCTTTACTAGCATCTTCTTTTGTTCTCTCGGATTCCTGCCATCTTCTTCAATCCTCTCCTTTTCCATTGTATCTGAAGTTTTGAACCGATCAACGACACTACTCCTACTCACCTTCATATGTTTTGGTATGGAACCTATCCAAACTGGAAGAAATTGATTTGGGGACCCTGATCCTCCGTATACCCGACATATGGGAATTTATTAGGGTGTCGTGCCCTTAAATTAACCCAACAATAACTTTTAGCGTAAATCTCTTAAACTACCCCTACTCTTTAGTTGGTCTTTGTTAATGTTTCATCGAAATTCATACACACGTAACACCACGTGATCTATAAATTTTTTTCAAAACCCAATTTTGCCTTTCATTCCTTTTCCCCTTCTTCTCTCTCTTCCTCTCGGCACAGCCGTCGAAGGCGACAACAGCCACAGACGGAGGGGAGAGAGAGAATGAAGGGGACAAAGGGACGAGCCCTTCGCATTTGCCCTCTACATTGATCAAATGGAACAATTTAGTGTTCCCTTTTTTACTATTTGCCTTCTTCTATAAGCACTGTACTGTAACTGTAAGTCTCTGCATTTGCAGTTGCTTGCAGACCAAAAAATAGAGAAGCTTCTTCAATGATCTGTAAATATTGATTTAATTTACAGACAAAACCCCCATGGATTATCATCTGACCTGCAATAAAATACCTGAGATAGGGAGACAGGGAGGAGAAATAACGAGATCTACACCGCTTCAAATCTAATGTAGATATAAGATATGTAGTTAATTAATTCTCCACTGTTCGCTGTCCCTCTGACTAACATGCGCCGGAGAGACTAGCCAATATTGTGAAAACGAAACTAATTCTACCTCCCAAGCTTAGTTTGCGTCTCTCTCTAGTCTCTATCTCAGACTAGAGACATGAGCCCTTCACCAATGGGGAAAAACAGGGGCGAGAGACATGAGCCCTTCGCTGCCGAAGAGACTAGCCAATATTGTAAAATTCCCCACTGTTCTCTGTCCCTCTAATTTTTAAGGGAAGAACTCTCAGCCACACCCACACGTTTTCGACCTCGTGCCTCACAAAAAGACACACACCTCAAGCTCTGCTCTGCTACTCTAAAAGTCCGAATCGATATTACTTGAAGCTCAAGTCTGAAGAGACGAAGGATGAAGGATTGGGGAGGCTGAAATTACAGAGTCGTCCCTCGTCCCACGGGTACATTCTAGTCTGAATCGACATTACTTGAAGCTCTAATCCTCTCTCCTACACCACCGCCACCGATGTCTTGAATATCTCCCCGATTTAGGGACGACGTGAACTCGAAGTAAATACTAGGCGGTGGTAGTTCAAGGTTCCTTGACTCCGGAAGCCATTTGAAAACTCGTTCCCCACATTGACGCCCTTATCCACATTGGATTCATGGCCGGACGGACAACTGATGGTCGAGAATCAGATCTGTTTCAACGATGAAACGGTTCAACAATGAGACGATTGGGGTTGGTTTACCTGAGTTGGGCAGTTGGGGGTAACGTTGAGAGAGATGGAGAGAGAGAGCAGACAAACAGAGAGAGAGAGAGAATTAGAAAAGGGGGTCTGATGAAACGAATAAAAGAAATCGGAGGAGTTGTGGCACGCAATGTTCCCGTCGTGAGGTTGGGGATGATAACAGCTGGACCAGAGGAAGGGGAGATTTCGAATTAGGTTAAACGAGGAAGAGATTAAGGGCAAAAGGGACATTTCGTTTCCTTCCCTCAACAATTAGCAACAATAACAATTGTGAGAAAACTTAAGGATATGGCAAAACCATAACAAAACAGTAGGAGTACCATATATCAATACGCTAAACAGTAGTAGGGATAGTTACAGCCTTACAGGGATAGTTTAAGAGATTTATCCTAATTTTTATCAAACAAAAAGAAATTAAAATAATAAAACCAACAACCTTCTCAAGGTTTAGTTGGGGTCTTCCCTTTTTATTGGAAAGATAAGATTTGAAAATTCTAGCTTTCTTTCTAGTAGGGGACTTACCTCTTTTTTCGAGCAATTTTTTAGAAGAAATAGTTGATTTAAATTAATGTGACAGATCATGTATGCGTTTTGATTGGTGGTTTTCATATTGATTTGGATGAGATTGATTTTCCTTCTTTTGATTCATTAGATAATAACAGCACATCATCCTGATTACAATCACGACGACACTGAAGAAAAGACACAACCTCAGTAGGGGGATTGATTAGGCATTTATACCTCAGTTGGGATTTGCTGCTAACTTCTTTCTCCTTTCCTCTCTATTAACCCACTCAATCAGGCCACCTGTCCCTATCTCTTCAACCTCCCAACAAATATTCAACAAATGTTAATCCTACGCTAACTATTTTTTTTTTTAATTTCCTAATTATTACACTTGCAGAGAAGCTTTAATGCATGCTAATTATTACAAAAACAAATTGTCAGCTCTAATCTCTCACCTCTGTCAAACACTACCAGTCTAGAATAACTCGACCGGAAACTCCACTTAAATGCAACTTTATTTGCAGAGGACGGCAGTGCCGAAAACAAAGAAGGAAGAGTGAAGTATCGAATCAGAAAGATAAAACAGACCGTTCATCAAGGTTTGTAGAAAGACAGGGAGAAGAGGAAAAAGACTCCTTTTTTTTCTGCTCGACTGCCTATGTATATATTATACTCTCACTTTAAATTTCTAGACGCCTCCCTACAAGAAGCTACAGACACTGTGGAGAGAGAGAGAGAGTGAGAAAGAGAGGAAGAGGAAGCCAAGTGGAGTTTAAATCTGCGCCCCACCCGCTCTCGCCCCACAAATGCCCCACTTGCCCGTAGTGCGCCATCTGTCCCTTCACACGGCTTCCTCTTGTAGCGCGTGCGGGGCTAACGGGACGTCCGTTACCCCCCAAAATTCTCCTTCTTCGGCACCGGCGATCTACGACAGCCGGCGGTATTCTCCAGCTCACCTTTTTTACATTTTTTTTGTTTTTTCTTTTTTTCTTCTGATATTTTCGTTGTAGATCACCGGTGCCGGAGAAGAAGAAGAGAACTCTGGCGAGAAGTGGGACCCAGCAATCAAATCTCTGTTTTCTCTTTTTTATGTATTAAATGCCACCAGCACAACACACACACAAGCCAGAGCTGCGCCGTCGTCGTCGTAGAAGTTTGGTTCTCTCTCTCTGGGAAACTTGAAACGCTGAGACTCTTGACTTTTCAACATTATCTCTGCAGAATCGAACACCAAATGAAGCTCTTTCTACTCTTCTTTCTCATTCTGCAGCTCCACGCCCTTAATCTTACCTTTTCTCTATCTCCCGACGGTCTCTCCCTTCTCGCTTTAAAGTCTGCCGTTGATCAAACGTTGCATGCCTCCGCCTTTTCCAACTGGAACGAACAGGACACTGACCCATGCAACTGGTCCGGAATTTCCTGTATCAACGTTACCGGATTCTCCGATCCTCGTGTCGTCGGAATCTCCCTCTCCGGACTGAATCTCCAAGGATACATTCCGTCTGAGCTCGGTACCCTCGTCTTTCTTCGACGTCTCAACCTCCACGGCAACAGGTTTTACGGTTCTATACCCCTTCAACTCTTCAATTCTACGTCCCTCCGCAGCATGTTTCTTTACGGTAATAACCTGTCTGGTCCGCTTCCCCCTTCGACTTGCAATCTTCCTCGGCTTCAGAACCTCGATCTTTCTCAAAATTCGCTTTCAGGATCCATTCCCAGAGACCAGAGTAAATGCCGTCAGTTGCAGCGGCTTGTTCTGGCCAGGAACAAGTTTTGTGGAGAGATTCTGGATGGAATTTGGCCCAAGCTGGAGAACTTGGTTAAGCTCGATCTGTCATCGAACGAATTCAATGGAACTATCCCGGCGGATCTTGGCAATTTGAAATCGCTCTACAGAACTCTAAACCTGTCCTTCAATCATTTCTCCGGCGAAATCCCGGCATCACTTGCGAGATTGCCGGTGACGATGAGCTTCGATCTGAAGCATAACAACCTCACCGGAGAAATCCCTCAGATTGGAACTTTTGCAAATCAAGGCCCGACCGCATTCCTCGACAACCCTCCTTTGTGTGGATTTCCTCTCCGGAAACCATGCAGCGTGAATCCCCAAAAGAACAACTTAGTGAATCAGAATCGGACTTGATACCAAAAGGCAAAAGCAAGTTTTGGGAGTAACGGGAGGGGCTAACGGACGTCCCGTTATCCGTTAGCCCCGCACGCGCTACAAGCGGAAGCCGTGTGAAGGGACAGATAGCGCACTACGGGCGTGTGGGGCATTTATGGGGCGAGAGCGGGTGGGGAGCAGATTCGAACTCAGCCAAGTGTTGGTAACAAAGACGAAACCCAGTTTCCTTCCGATTCGATTCGGGGTTCGTTTTGTGGGAGAATCAAGATCTAGCGAAAAGGACGTCATTCTGATCAGTATAAAGAGAAATGGAAAACCCAGAGCTGCTTTTATGGACCAAGACCACTCCAAACGGTTCCGACAAAATTTAATCAAGGATTTAAAATACGGAAAGGTACGGATTTGTTCAATGCAGATTTTTGATTTACACTACAGGATTATAAACATTTAAATAGATCGATACTCCCACTGTATGCATTCACGCCCGCCTGTAAATTGACATCATTCCAAGCTGACACCTATTTGAACTACATTAAAACTATAAATTCTGACACTGGGGGCATCGGTCATTTTCCCTTTTTTCTGTTAGTCTCTGTAATTTTTGTATATATATATATATATATATATTATATTTGATTTATAACGGTGGCAACCAGAGATCTTTAACTATTAAGTCACTCACTCTCTTCTCTTCTTCATGTCTCTTGTCTCTCTAACTACAAAGCATCTTTTAAAAAGCAACGCTCAGATCGAAATCTCACTCAAATATTAATTTCCCACTTAATTGCTCTGTATTTAAAATAAAAAATAAAAAATCACCACTGTATATTTGCATTATATATTTTTCATAAAATGAATTTTAATTGAATCAAGGCTCCATCAACCTCCAGCTGTCGCCATTTCTAGAATCCAGTCCCAATTGAGACTCGTGATGGGTCGTGCATCATGGGCCGCCTAACCCCAGTTTGGATTTCCTGTAAACTTTTTTTCTAAAAGATTAATCCATAAAAATAAAATTCAAGGAGGATTAACCTTTATTTGGGAGGCTGGATAGATAAGGACAGATGGCCTAATTTGAGTGGATTAGCAGAGAGAAGAGGAGGAAGAGATTAACAGTAAATCCAAACTATTTATACCTACTAATACTCAAGAGTAAGAGTCATATTTGCTAATTTATTAGCGCACCTATTGGCTCACATTGATTTACAAGTTGGAGTCTCCAACGTGGCATCGTGAAGAAAAGGGGCAGGAGATAAAAATGCAAATATGACTTCCTGATTTTGTAATCTTTTTTATAATAAATTTTCAGTCAGTTAGCTTGTGCCAGTATTTATTGGGCTAACATACATGGGTAATCCAACTTATAAGCTTTGAATGATTAACCCAAAATTAGCACAACTTCTACGCTAGCTAGGTTACGAGAAATTAAGCTTGTAGTTTTCCTTTATAATCCCATACTTTTCTTAATCAGTCAAGATTCTAATTACTAAGATTAGTTCTTACTTCTTACTGCTAGTATAGGTAATTTGATATGTAGATCTCTAAAATCAAATTGGTTCATATATATTAATATCAATTTATCAATCCATAAAGCATCACGCTTTAGGTTTTATTATGAAAGTGGCTAGGTTTGGTTTGGAAGTAAGAAACATCAAATTTTGACCATCTCATCCGCTACATCCTCCTTTGTTGGCCGTTAATATAAGGCATGTAGTCGATGCCAAAAAGATCTCCATTTTTCGACTTTGGTGGGGTTGTGAGATGGAAAAAGAGGGGTGATCATTTCAACCCGATCTGAAAATTCCAGGCCTGTGTAGGTTTGCCGCCTGGATTTAATACCTTTAAATCCATTATAGTTATAAATGTATTTTATACATAATGTATAAGTATATATGTTATTTTATGTTACATTATACATTATATATTTTACACAAAAGACACTTATAATATTTTATATTATATACCATTTAATTAATATATAATATTATACATATGTGGTATTTTATATATAAGACTTAATCTCAAAATCAGACCCAGCCCAGCCCTGGCCCGTGCTTATGTTTTAGGCCCAACGGGAGGGGTGATCATTTTGGCCCGACCTAGAAATTTCAGGCCTGTGTAGGTTCGCGGCCTGGATTTAATACCTTTAAGCCTGGCTCTAGCTTCGCCTGCATATAGTTATAAATGTATTTATACATAATGTATAAGTATATATGTTATTTTATATTATATTATACATTATATATTTTATACATAAGCATTATGACACTTATAATATTTTATATTATATAATGTATAAAATAAATTTATATACATATTATATGCCATTTAATTAATATATAATATTATATATATGTGATATTTTATATATAAAAGACTTAATCTCAAAATCAGGCCCAGCCCAGCCCTGGCCCGGGCTTATGTTTTAGGCCCAAAACCTTGGCCAGGCCAGGCCCATGATCACCCCTACCCACAGGGCAATGGAGCTCCTGATCCTATCTGAATTCTGAAATGAAGGCATATAGGGGAAATGAGCAGGCCCATGACTACGGTCTCTTGCAAGTAAGGTTCAAAGTATCAGCCTGTATTGGCCAATATGTATCGTATCGGGAGCACCCCTGATACGACTTGTTCAGGGGGTGGATGAGCCTTAAACTGGCCCCCTGAATCGATTTTGAAAAAAAAAAGTACCAATACTGCCCAATACACCCCTGCCGATGTATCAGACGTATCAATATTTAGAACCTTACTTGCAAGTAAAAACGCTATGAACAATGAAACCAATCACATATTGGGAGTATTTTTCATACATGTATATTAAATTAATTCATAGTGAGATGTATATTAATTTAATTCATAAATCACATATTGGGAGTATTTTTCATACATGTACATTAAATTAATTCATAGTGAGATGTTCATAATGATCAGCTGGATGTCTTTTGGGTTATGTATAGAATTTTTGTTTTAGGTTCATATATTAATTTAATTCATAAATTAATTCATAGTGAGATGTTCATAATGATCAACTTCCCCTCTCTCAAAATCAAAAACTTAGGGGCCTTCACTCAGTAGGAAGTGGAAATGCCTCTCCCCCATCCCTAACTGCCAAATCCAATCACATTAATTAGTTTCTACTTTCCAAATAGATTTTTCTTGTTTTCTAATCCTAGTAGTTAGTTGCTCGGCAGCTCCAGATAACTCTCCAAAGTCTAAGAAAACTCTCTGTTCTTATTCCCTCTAACGTTATGGAAGAAGATTGAATATTGAGGAATTGAAGAAGAATCATTCTCCAACGTGAAAGAACACTCCAAAGATTGAAGATTGAAGATTGAAGATTGAAGAATCAAAGAAAATTGAAGATTGAAGAATTTTCCAATCATTCTCCAACAAGCAACAACCCAACATGTCTGATTGATTTTTTATTTCAGTTTGTTTTTATTATTTTTTTAGGGATTATAGTCGATAAAGGCAACTTTTCATCCATAATATCAATAAAAATAACCTTTTTAATATAATTTCTAACATACAGTAACATTTTTGAAAAAATATCAAATAAGGACAGGATGGCAAATCTCCCCCACCTCCGGTCTCTCTCTCTCCTCCTTAAAGGAAGAAATATTTAAACGTAAAAGAAAAAAAACATATTAATAATAATAATAATAATAATTTATAAACAAATCGTTGGTCATGGCTTTTACAGAGGATAGCTCTGCAGTGGTTCATTTCTGCCTCTAATGATCGAACAAACATATGCTGTTCAAACAGGGATTGAAGAGCCTATATAAGAAAATAATCAAATAAACAAAAAAAGACAGTCAAAGGGGAGAATAGGGTCTACTTGCAGTGGATTTCGGCCTGAATTTGTTCACTACAACAGGGGATGAGAATATTGGTTGTTTTTGGTTTCCTTCTCCAATCAACAATTGTGAGACATTTATGAATAGAAGCACAACAAGAAGAAACTATCGCCTGGTCAGAGATTTGTCTAAAACCAAGAAGAAGACAGCCGCAAGCTCTGGGTGTCACCGTGATTTTGATTTGACCAATGTAGAGGACTGAGAATAGGGGGTCCGTTAAATGTATAGGAAACATCGCTGCTGAAAGATGTTCATCGCCAAATGACGACAAACAGGATCAAAGACCAAATATGGAAGAAGAAGAAGAAGAAGAAGAAGAAGAAGAAGAAGAAGAAGAAGAAGAAGAAGAAGAAGAAGAAGAAGAAGAAGAAGAAGAAGAAGGACCAAAGAGAAAGAGAAAAAATGGAGGTCAGAGATGGAGGGGTTGTCTCTGCCACCCTGCTCTCGTCACGGGTTTGGAGACAATGAACATTGTTTTTGCCTATTTCTTTGCCCTTATTTTGATATTTAATCAAAAAAATTACCTGTTTTTAAAAATTATATTTAAAAGATTATTTTATTAATATTAGGGACGAAAAGGAGCTCGTATCAGCTAAAAACCCTTTTTTACGCCAGTTTTTTTTTTTGTTTCAGTTCATTTGCTGGCTTTTATTATCTGTACCATCTATAGGTTTAGATTAATTTCGGTTTTGCATAATATTTAAATATATAATAAATTTTGGTTATGCATATGTTATGAATGTTTTCACATACACGAATTTGATTATATTTTGTTTTTAATTAATAATATTGACTTTTTAGGATCTCAGTGGTATGTTGATGCTTTGATATTGCATGGCATTGTTTAACTTTGACTGCCTTTTCATCCAATGAGAGAATCGACTCAAACAGCTCTTCATGTTTGGGTTAGTTTTCAGTCAAATTTGGTTGGTTTCAGGTGGCCAACTTATCAATCCAAACACGTCAATTCAATTGGCCAAATAGTTTACAACCAAAGCAACCCGATCCATGTAAATCCAAGTTTTATTTTGACCCCATTATATAAATACATACTTCCACTTTTTCACGGTGGATGTTAAGCCACCTCATTTAACGTTCAAAAAATTTCAACAAAACAAAGGCGTGGCTGAATCATCCACCAAAAGAAAGTGGAAGTACATACTTCCAGGACGGAGCAAAATTTTCACTCTTTTTTCAAAATGAGGGAATGGTTCATGTCACACTCAGATGTTAAAGACATGCCCTCCCATATTATCATTACGTAGGTGTATGGGATCGATGAGAAAACGGCACCTCATCAAAAATCTGTTTTTTTTTTATTTTTTTTGAGAAAACGTTTGCTGTTTGTTTTTTCCAAAAAACATTTTGATGTATGTAGGGTGTATGTGATCACAGCTGTGTCATCTTCGAGTTCTCCCTCTCTTTGTTTCTGAATCGAGCAGCAATAAATACCACCCCCTTTGGAAGCTGCATTTTAAGACAAGTAATTAAACTGTGCTCTTTATGTCATCCCCTGAATTTTAATGCATTTCTATCACACAATTTCCACGGCCCATCCTTGTGCCTAAGCTTTGTTGATTAAATATCTTCCCTCCCATTTTCTGCTCTTATTCTTTTATGTTTCACCTTGCACAAATTTGCAGCTTTATCTACACAGTTTAGATCCCAGAATTGAGAAACCCTACATTTTTTTGGTAATAGAAATCTTATATATATATATATATTGAATGTGGGGAGATGTCTTCTTGGAGTCCGGATCTCTTGTACATCCATCCTTCTAGAGCTTCCTATACATCAAATTAGATGGTGTCATATCAGCAATCTCTCCTGCTTAAATCTCACATGTGCGAATGGGAGTATCAGACGTTATAAATGTCCTCTCATCCTGTTTTTAATATATTGAAATTTATAAAATTCTAAAACAAATAAAAAACAGGGGTTAAAAGGGTGTTTCTTCCTATTTTGTTCAAATCTTTCTCCAACGAACGAACTGAATAATACTAGAAGAAAAACAAGAATAAGGGTTCAGTGGATCAAATGCCTGGCTAGAACGACTTTTTCCCATATCTTTTCACTTTACTGCTAAGTATCAACCATCAACCAAATCTCAAATGGAATCACAGGATCTCTTATACATTCATCCCTATAGAGAATCATTCAACAACCACATATTTTCACAAGATTTGAAACTCAAATGAGCTTTCTATTTCAATTGTTTTTTTTTCCTCTGGACTTCCATTGCCTTAAGAGTTCAGATAATCAAACGCTTGGCTGAGATAATTCTCTCTCATATCTCACTCAATGTTGTTAAGTAAACCAAACACCAACTGGGATCAATGAAATACAAGGATCTATCAACAAAAGACAGAGCATATGTCATCACAAGGATCTATCAACAAAACACAGAGCATATGTCATCGCTCTTAATTTTCTGTTCAATTCAATACCTTATCTCGATTGTTGATCCTAGTTGGTAATCAAGTAAAAGTTGGAGAATCATCTCAGCCTCAGGCATTCAATTCTCGGAAGTCAAAACTCTTATTCGTGGTTTTTTCTTCTTAGTAATATTCAACTATTTAAACTCTTGTTTTTTATTTGAACGAAATAAGAAGAAGAAACCTTAACTTCTGTTTTTTATTTGTTTTAAAATTTTAATATATTAAAAACGGGATAGGAGGAAGTATGAAATATATGTTACTCCTAATTGCACATGTAAGATTTCAGCACACTCTGATTTTCTACAGGGATGAATTCATCTGGACTCATCTCCTTGATCGTAAGAAACTAATGACTCATAACTGCTAATCTTTCTTCTAGCCATTCATTACAACAATGGCCATGGAGTCTAGCAGCGAGATTGACGACGACCTTCCGCGATGCGTGTCCCTATGTAAAGTAGACGAATGTCACGAATCCATGCCCCATCAAATCCATTCGAAATGGAAAGGGAATGCAATGAGTTGCCCATTTGTACCTTTGTTTGGTCACGCAGTATGATATAATATAACATTCAACAGAAATAACGTGAAACGAAGAACAAACAGTTGTTATAACTTTACAGGAGCTTCTCCTAATTCTAATTCTAGTGCTTTTTTTTTGGGGGGAGGGGGGGTGTTCTTCTTGAATGGCTATTAGATTTGTGTGAAATTTGAGAGACTTGGGATTCTATTTGTCAATTTGACCAAGCTTGCCAAGGCCATTGCAACGAGCGCAAACGATCTGAGTCTGGTCCTTCCTTGCCGCATTCGCCCGCAGCGTCACCCCTGCTTGTCTCACAAATCCTGCACCATCGCATTCTGGACATCTGTACCACCAATCCCACAGAAATATGAAGCATTATGGTGTTAGTCAGCATCTCTAATCAAAATTATAAGTTTGGAGAGGGCGGTTCTGTTTTCAATCTAGCTAGAAACCGTTGGGTTGAATCTTTTGGTGTTGGTCTTCGTCAAATTTTCAGGATTACTCTTCCATTTCGAATGGAAGAAACGGGAGACCACCCTATGATTCTGAACCTGTGTAGTAATAATATGAAAGAGAGAGAGAGATTGAATTGAGGTCTGTAACCTGTAGGGGATCAGGGAAAAGAGTAATTACATATCCTTGCGAGAGAAGAGAATGGGAAAAGCCGTTCCGAGCAGTGCCACGGCCACCGCGCCTGCGATCAGATATGTATTTGCATCAGCCGAGACTTCCCCTACTGCGCACACCACAGTCGAACGTCTCTTCTCATTAATCTTTCTCTGGTATATGTTCTCCTTACCCCTCGACAGTACTAAACCCAGAGATGCTGGCTGCAGTGGGAAGCTGCCGGATATGGATCGGCGACACGCAGCTACTCGTCGGACCGACGAGGTTGGACTGAATAGAGCTTGGAGAGGAATCGTAGTAGCCATTCAGTGCAACTTTGGAAGTGATGACGATGATCATGGAGTTGGGCTTTTGTTGGATGATCCGGAGTACGAGTTTGGATAAGACCACGTAAGCAAGAAGTCAGATGCTTGTGATTTTTCGTGGATAAGGTAGCTGGGGTCGCCACCGGATTCTGTTGACGTGTGGCGATCACCATAGAACAAGATAATAACCGTGTGGGGCCCTTGTCCAATGTTCCTCATTCTGTGTATGGTGATTAGGAGCCTTACGTGGATACAGCTATAGTCACTGGTGGCGGTGAGGTGTTTGGAATTCGGATTGAGACGCAGTTCAGTTATACTTAAAACAGAAGTACTATTTCTCAAGCTTGAATTCTGTTTGGTGAAAAATGTGTGATGGAAATTGGAAAATGTGTTTCCTCCTAGAAAGAGAGAGAGAAGCTCTTCCTGATTAAACTGTTTTGACTATTAACAATTTCCAGCCCAAAAGAAAATTGTATGAAACTCTTTTAACAATAACACCTGAGTAATTGCAGCATCGTTTCCACTCAAAGATCAAAACCACGGCCAACTTGATTCAAGAGGGCCCATGGCCAACTAATTGTGTTTCCTTTGTTTCTTTAGTCATATCTGATGAGGGTAGATTTGGCCCTCTTATGATATTGTGACACGTGGTGCCTCGGAACAAATAGGTGACATTCGGAACTACTCAGGCAACAACTTGCCAAGTTGATGGTGTCCCACCTGGCGGCCTGGCCCAGCGCGACCTAGCGACATGGCCAAGGCGCAGCCTGGCAGCCTGGCCTAGCGCGATCTGGCGGCTTGGCGGCCTGCCCTAGGCGTGAACTGGCGGCCAGGCCACCATATCCTAACACTCCCACGATCCTTGGAAGTTGGCCCATGTGCCGAACGATCCGGAGGGTGGTCAACGTGCATGGCGGTTACCTCCAGGAATCTCTAACCACTTAGACGACCTCGCAGAAATCTCGGATATGGTGCGTGAAGCCCACGCCAAACAATGCCTATATAAAGGCACCAACCCCAATGGCAAGTAAGCAAGTAAGAAAATTCTAGCTCTCATACTTTGTGATTTTTAGCTTGCAGTCTACTATGAGAGTACTGACTTAAGCATCGGAGCGACCTCGTCGGGTTAGCCACCCCGGGTCCTCTGACATTTGGTTCCTTGCAGGTCTCTAAAGAGCAACGAAGCTCATCAATCCAACTCGCCAGCTGGTTAGCTTGGCACCTAGGCAGCCCGGTGCCTCACAGGTAGCTCGCCACCTGGTTAGCTCGGCACCTCATAGGCAGCCCTGCACCTGGTCAACCCGGTGCCTCACAGGCAGCTCGTGCCCAGCACCTCACAGGCAGCTCGACACCTAGGCAGCTCGGCACCTCACAGGCAGTTCAGCACCTCACAGGCAGCTCGGCACCTAGGTAGCTCTACTTCGGCCTTTGAGTCATCGGCCACTTGGAAGCAGATCAAATGACAAGGTACTTAGCCAAAAGATTGATACATGAGCAAAAATCAATTCTTCAATATCTAACATACGAAGGCTTGCGTTTCAGACTTGAGACTCATCTTACATTTCTTCCTTCTCTTTTTATTTTTTTATTTTTTTATTTTTTTACGTTTCTCTACTTTCATGTTGAAGATAAAGATTTATCTTAGCTTTCTTTTTTCCTTTTATGTGGTAGGATGTATGGTTGTCTTTCAGTGATTCAGAGGTTTGTTGTAACATTGCTTGCTGAAACCCGAGTCTATACTCCAAGTTGCAACCCAAGCATGAGAAGACCATGGTGGTGACTCCTGCTGAATCACTTACCCCTCGCAGTCAATTTTCTTTAACTTGTGAGTTCTTTTTTGATAGTCATTAACTTGTGAGTCGTGACTTTATCAATATTTACATCAACTAACAAAGATTTAGAACCATCTCACATAGTTTTATCTGGTTATCAAGAGGATTAATACTTGTCATGTCCTGCAACAAAAAAGTAGGCCTGGTTTTCTCTCTATGCATGACAAATACAAAGGAAAACAAATCTATCAATCAGCTTTTTCTTCAAAGTATAATGTGACAAAGGAACTAAGATCAAGTTTAAACTGCAGATGATGTATGCTAGAAGGAAGAGGGGACGGAACAGAGGCACAATAATCTTCACCACAGAGAAGTTTTTGTGCTAGGGATGCACTTAAATGCCAAAATCAAGATCTTTTCTGTCTATTTCTATGTTCAATTAATGAAACCACAAATAGAAAAATAATAGCAGAATTTTTATTAAACTCGACAGGAATGGACCAAACAAAAAATTGTTATTACTATCAGAAAAAGTAAAATCTATGTCATGCATACACTTAAATAAAATGCATATAATACACTAACTAATAAAATACATATTTTGTGGATGAAGAGCATAAAAAAGTGGGGATACATTGTTACTTCACCAGCAATCATTCAGAAATGTCATCTTCTGCCCCACTAGAGTGATCCATATCTTGCAGCTGAGAAAGCTTATGCTGCCTTACAAGGCCATCTTCAATGGTTGACGTTCCTCTCTTTGAACTTGAAACATTTCCCTTGGAATTCTCATAATCCTGAATACATAGTGTAAGCCAATGGGATAAGGTTAGTCCTGGAGTTCTGAAAGTAGGAGTTCAAGGGTGAATGGAATGGCTTCCCCCCAACCCCCGAAGATATGAAGTCTGAAAGTCCCCCAGCAGGAGCTTAAGTCCTTTATATATATAGAGGAAGCTCGCCATGCAACCATGCACGGTTGAGATTGTTCTAGAACATTCACTACTTGTGATCAAGTGGGGAACAAATCCCATGCTTTCCTCAGCAAGGGACGCATGTCTCTGGGGGGCCACTCTACCAATCTCACACATCCTTGGGAGCCATCCTGGTAGAGAAACATGTCCAGAGATAGCAACCACCCCCAAAGCATCTTAATCAGGGACTCACATCATGTGGGTCTTTTAGGAGCGAGAACGATTTCATGCAAGAGCGAGACCTTTTGTTGCGCAAGGAGTAATCCTGTGAGTCCCCCATAGCCATAGGGGTCTCGCTGGGTCTAGCAAGATCCTACATATTCCAAACTCATAATGAGATATTGAGATTTTTCCATCACCATGTGCCTATCCACTCTCTCACACATAGTCAAAGATAAGATAGGATCATATGAACCTCAAGAGACCATACTAAAAGGGAAAACTATCAGAAGAAAATATTACATAATGATAATAGGGCATTACTGATTAAATGGTTTCTAGAGATTACCCCTGCTTCCTGCAGTTCAATTGCAGCAACTTCTGGTCTGCACCTTACAGTCACTCTTGAAGGTATGGGATAATGTTCAACCTCATCACTGGACCTTCCTTCTTTTGCCCTCTTCTTCCATAAAACAAGCTTCATGGGAAGAGACTGCATCATTGTGAGATTATGAGCCAAAGCCATTATGATCTCCCATTTAAAACAATTAATGACATTTTGTTTATTACCAAGTAGCGTGCTGCTTTTTCATCAAATATAACAAGGTATTTTATTGGGCCATCTGCATCACCACCAAGTACCTGTGTGTCATGAAAGGAAAAATTCAAGTTTCAATTTTAAATGAAGTAGATGCAAGAAGCGAAGGGGAAAAAGAAAATTCTTACATCCCAGTGGATGAATATGAAATGCACATCAGCTAAATTCTCAGTCAAGTTGCAGTAACAATGTCATTTCAAGCAGACTAGCATGGTTCAGGATATCCTGCAACATTTGGCAGTGTTGAAACATTCAAAAAAAATAAACTGACAACAACAAGAACAATACGACCTACACATAAGGGCTTTGAAATTGGTATAATTATAGATGAAAATACTTCATTGCTTCAAAAATGACTGTGGAGATTCCTACAGAGCCATACCATGTTGCTTTCAGAAAGTCGTAGTGACTCCATATCTCTCTCTTGACACACACCAGATGTGACCCAGTTTCAGGTCAAAGGGTTAGGTTTTGAGAGGACATCTGGTAGAGAGAGTCCTTTGTTTCTCAAGTTCCAAAGGCTCTACAATTCCTTTACAAAGAAAAGGCCAACTTTAATACAGGTTTTCCTACCTTTTCTTTCAAACCAAACACAGCCTAAAATTTAAACTTTGTTTTATTTTCAGAGGATATCTCTTCTGGCTTAGGTTTCAGAAGAGGTTTGAGAGACTTTTTCTGTTTTTTTTTTTTCTGTTTTTTTGATAGGTAAGAGGTTTGAGAGACTTTGAAGATGAGGATGATAAAAATCTTCTTAATTTGTTTCAAAATGTCTTCTTGCCCGCATCTTCTTATAAAATCTTTGATAAATCACCCCCTCACTACCAACCTTTACCAACCAAAGCTCTTTGGGTTGGTCCTACTCCTCTAGAAATCAAAGATTTTTTCTAGGAACCCACACCAAGATAATCAACATTGAAGAGATGTTCTAATGCATGTAGAAACAACCACAGCCTATATCCTCAGGTGCATCCTTTATTTGAGTGGTGAAGATGTCAACAATCTTTCTCTCCTGCCCTTCTACTGCAATGGTATGAAATCACTTTCTCCCTTTATTTGGTGCTGTAAGAATTCTTGAACCTTTTTCCCTCTCAATACCAATAGGTAAGATAATTTCATATTGTACACATGCTGCAGTAATGTGGAGCATTTGGTGTGAGATAAATGCTAGAATCTTCAAAAGCAAGAAGCTAGAGATGAGTCCACCATTGTCCTGATCATGGTTGGAGTGGTTGAATGCATTTGACAATGTATGAAATGATGGATACAAGGGAATCTCTAATGCACTTTTTACTAGGGGGTTGCACATCAGTGCTGGGTTTTTTTTTGTTTTTTTTGTTTTTTCAATCTGCAACAGAAAAAAAAAATTATTAATTAAGAGAGGAATTTAGAACTTTTAGGTAGCCTCAGATACCCCCTAAACAAACTTAACAAAAAAGCAACAAGAACAGAAAATGATTTATCCTTTTAACTTTACAACTTAGCCCAAAAACACAGCTCTCTGTTAAACCCTTGCTTTGCTAAGTAATCTGCTAGACTGCTGGCTGACCTTGGGATCTATTGAAAAACCAACTGCATATCCATTGAAAGTCCCATAAACTTTTTGATTTCATTCCTGAAGAACCATGGGGTCTTTTCACTTTGTTTCTGCCAGCTTAAGATTAATTTTGAATCTCCTTCAACTATCAACTTCCTCACCCCTAATTCCCCAGATTTTTGAACCCCAAAAACCACCGCCTTCAATTTGTTGAGTCCTCTTCCCCAAGTGGCCCTGAATACAAGCCCAATATTACTCCATTTTCATCCCTTATTACCCCTCCTATTCAACCAGTGCTGGTTTTTATTAGAGAAATGTAATTCAATCATGGATGGCACCTGAACATGGTCAAATCAAAATGAACTTTGATGGCTGTTTTCTTGGTAACTCAGGACCATTTGGCAATAGGTAAGTTTTCAGAGATCAGAATGGTAGTGTTTTGATGATCTTCACAGCCCTAGGTGAAGGGCAGAGCTTATTGTACTACTTTACGAGTTGAATTTAGCTTGTTCAGCTGCATGGACAAACTTTAACATTGATGGTGACTGTCAGGTGTGCAATCATTTGGTTATCCTCACAGCCAGATAAGCATTTACTTTGAACTGCTCATTCACGTGGACCTCAATGTCCGACAATTGGCTTTCCAACTCCTTAGCAATGGAAGGAGTGGTAAAAGAAGTAGAATGGAGATAACTGGCTCTGGATTGAATATGTAGTTGTTGTATTCCATTTTAAAAGAATTACTAAAGCAGCCTTAGGCTGTGTATCTATATCCAGTCCCTTCTATTCAAAAGCTTTGGAAAATTGAAAATTTTCCTTTGATTATTAAAATCTGATCACAATTACTGATCAGAAGAAACTACAGATAGGGCTTCTTGCTGAAGTTACTTGTATTCCATTAACCACTCTACTTCTAGATAGAAGCTTTCAATCAGTTGTGTGTTTGAAAGGACCACCCTGAAACTCCCCCAAAGAATATCTGGTACACCACTTATTACACACATAACTTTATTTGATCAAACACTTCCATAGTTCCATTAAGGTCATATTTTTCAAGGCACCTAGGCGTCGCTAGTAGTAGAAAATGTGTTGATTAGACAAAATTTTAAGTTCTTCCTTACTCATTGGTTCAGGCTTTAAAGTCTTTGGGGGTTCAATACAGCATTTAGCAATGTTTATATTGATTAAACCCTAACAAATAAGAAAATTAATAAAAAGAAATTAATATACAAACACACAATGAATATTTTAGTTTAATAGTGCCTATTTTATAATTATAGTGTAAAAAAATAAAAAATAAAAAAGTGTTTTATAATACATAGTACAAAACTGCTTGGCGATTAGGCGAGGCGAGCCTCAAAGGGTGCCTTGTTGCCTAGGCATCACCTTGACAACTATGACTAAGGTATATGATTCAGATCTTTATCTATTCCATTAAGATAGTGTATGGTAGCATGAAATATATTTACTGTTGCATTTGTGGCATAATCAGGAACACAATGCCCAACTATGCTTCAAATGTTTCCTTGAACACATAAAAAAATGTATTTCATAGAAGTATATGCTAACTAGGTATTTAAAATGCTATTTTTATGAAAATAAATTGTTTTTTATCAGCAACTGTAAATCCATCAAAATAATAAGGGTAAAATACAAAAATCTCCCCTAAAGTTTCTGACAATCATAAAAACCTCCCCTCTAGTTTAATTTTAACAAATACCTCCCGTTAACTTTTGAGAAATTTGACAAAAAACCTCCCTTATGTCACTTTCTTAGACGGAAAACATTAGATTGATGCACCAATTTCTTCTAAATACCCTTTTATAAATTATTTTGCATACAAAATTACTGAAATAACCCCATTTTTTACTTGACAAAAATCTCCTTTTAACAATCATCTTCTAATGTTTTTGTCGAATTAAAACATGGTTACCCAGTAATTTTGCATGTAAAATAATTTATAAAAGGGTAGAATGTGTATTTGGAAGAAATTGCTACATCAGTCTAACGTTTTCCGTCTGGAAAGGTGACGGAAGGGAGGTTTTTGTCAAGTTTCTCAAAAGTTCAGGGGAGGTATTTGTTAAAATAAAACTAGAGGGGAGGTTTTTATGATTGCCAGAAACTTCAGGGGAGGTTCTTTTATTTTACCCAAATAATAAAAAAGAATTACAAAGTGTAAAGAAAGCAAAAGGAGATTAAAAAAACTTATCTCCAATCCAAAAGCATTATAACTGAGCCCAAAACATTTGAATCCTCTCAGCCCCTTTTGCCAAGATTAGAAAAAAAGAATGATGTAAAGTCAATAAAACAAACCAGAGAAGTAAACTGAATTCTCATTTCCCAATGTGCCACCTCATAAGTGGCATTTCTTCAACAGCCTGCTGATTGTAGAATATCAATTTGATTATTCTTCAATCATCCCTCTTCACAAAAATCTAGAGTATGGTGTTTCTACATAAACAGAAATAATCAAAAATAATTTTTACCCATTTATGCAAAAATGCTAGCATGGCAATTTCTTTCAATGCAATGGAAAACAAACACCACGGCACCAAACATCCTCTAAATTACCTATATCTTTTCTAAAAAAAGATTCTTCGAGGACACAAGTTCAGAAAAATGCTTGGGCCATCCCTGGAGACTAGATCCCAGTTCATCATTGTGTAAACCCTTACAAAACTAAAAGGAAGATTCAACTTTTCTAATATACTTAAAATATATCTCGATATCCATGGACCCAATTTTTGAGGATAATTGATTATGATTCAGAAACCAGTTAAGTAAAACCAAAAGTAAGGGTATACACATGTAAGAATGTGATCCATGTCAATCAAAATCAGGTGGTGTAGACTCTTACCGATCAAAAACAGGTAATAGTGGAAGAATCTCAACAGGATGCAATTTAGGATTGGTTGCATGAACTGGAGGCAATTTAGGCCCCGTTTGGCATTGTTCCTGCCTGTTCCTGTTCTTGGAGAAATTCCTGTTCCAGAATAGGAATGGAATTTCTGGTTCCTGGAGAATAACACTTGATGTAGCACAATCCGGTCACTCCTAATTGGCGCTCGCGTGGCTCCTGAGACGTACCTGAAACTAGAGGAAAGAGGAAGAACTCCCGGGGGGTTTCCCGGTGGGAACGCTCCGATGCTTAAGTTAGTATTGTGTGCAAGAAGCTGAAGGAAAACGAAAGCTAAGAGTGCAGGTTGCGCTAGTGATTCAAGATACCTTGTTCCTTGAGAATAAACTCCTTATAACTGAATTCCGTTGCTTCAGGCCCTCTGACCTCTGACAGGGCAGGTATAACCACCACT